CCTCATTGCACTCCTCGAGCCTCCCGTTTGGTACATATCGCCCATTAGGGCTGAAAATAGGGACGACTTTCCCGATCCCACTCTTCCCACAATCGCAACCAACGATCCCTTCTTCACATTCAGCGTAATATCCTTTAGAATCGGCTCGTCTTCTAAACCCCACGAAAAGCAACACTTTTTCAAAGACACGGCATATCTCTCATCACTTGAATCGTCTCTTCTCTCATCCCTTTCCACACTTTCGTTCAATTCTTCAGAACTTAAATATTTACGAATTCTTCGAAACGAGACAATAGCCAGGGTCAACTGGGTCAACACCGCTGGAAGTCTTTATAATAAAATTATAAAATAGTAAATTTAAGAATACTTTACACAAAGCATTGATAATTATTAAATATAACATACCTTCCCATCGGTGCCTTCAACGAGATATAAACAGATAGCGAAACAAAAGCCGTTTTTGCGGTGAATGGCTGACCGGATGTATAGATAAATATAGTGAATGTGATTCCGGCGACAATGAAGGGCACGACAATCCAGAGCACATCAATACCCGACCAAAAATAGTTATTCACTTTCAAAGTATGCAACTCTTGGCGTCTGGTCTCTGAGATCCGATCGATGAACGGTTTCTCCCAACCAAACAGTTTCAGGAGTTTTATATTACTTAATACTTCACTGATTTGTTGCATCCGTTTGTCTTTCAACTGCATCTGTTTGGTCTGCAATGTGTCGATACGTGTCATCACAAGTGTAGTGAACGGACACACGATTAGCATCACCGCCAACAGTGTCAACGATGACGGACCCAATTGCTGCCACAGTATGTACTCTCCGATACCGATAGCCAAGGGTATTGACAGCATGTTTGTCATGAAACGGATAAAATCGCATATTTCCACCACATCCACACCCATTATGTTGTTTATATCACCTGTGAGCTCATTAAACATGGTTAACATTTAAATGATTATGCTTAGAAAACCTAATATTTGTATAATTATTACTCATTTACCGGTTGTATACACGCGACGGGAACCGACACTAAGTCTTAGCATTTTCTGATAGAGAGCTGATATGAGCGCTGACGACGTCCTATAATAAGCCATATTTATGAACAAATTTGAGTGACAGTCAAACAGTTGGGACATCAGATTAATGAGACTGTAGGCCACGGCGTAACATAACCCGTGCCACAGATGGTCGGTGTCCGACACGAAGTCTATGAGTTTGGCGAGAATATAGGGCTGACTTAAGTCGACGCACACGTGGATCAGCTCCATAAGCGACCCAAACAGATAGGGAGTCCACGCCGTCCACACGAGTAATGGGAATAAAGTGATCTCTGTTTTGGATTTGAGTTTATTTGAGTTGTATTTCCTGTTCGCCGATTCAAACGCATTGAAAGCGTTTTGGGATTTCATATAATCGCAGATCGGAAGCAAATGTTGTGTTAAATCTTCATTTGATTTGTAGCCGTGTTTTAGGATTGTTTTCATCCAAAAGATGAATATTTTGGAGAATATATTGAAGTCATTCATTGGACACTTGGGCTCACATTCTGCTCCCAAGACCTCGAACTCCGAATATCTTGTGGTTAAACACGAGATAATAAGTGTTATTATTGTGAGGAACAGCTCCAAGCAATTCAATACAGCTTCAAGAATAGGAATATTCTTGTGGTATATAATGAAAAATTGATACAAATTTATGGTAACAATCAATGTATTAGTCAACCACTGAAGTGGTACTGAACTCGGGTGTCGGTAACCAAACCGTCGGAATAGTAGCACCAGATATATGGCCAAAGAGTAGGTCATAAATTTGATTGAATGCGAAAATACTTCGCTTAATAGTAATGAATTTGTTTCAAAGTATTTCCACAGAATTCTTGTGATATTAATTATTGAGATAAATGACAAGCAAACCATTGAAAGCTAAGGTTTATAAATACAAAATTAATGATAGATTGTCTCAATAAAATGTATATGAAATGAAAATGTATACCAAATGTGAAATATTTCTCCATTGATAGGGAATTGGAGGCACTCTTTGGTGGGATTTGCGGACAACATATATATCGTACGGAAGAAGTAGTAATAGGACTGAGAGTGGAATCACTGGTAATACTGTTTGCGTGAAACAGTCGGTCAGTACCGGGATATCGGAATCCCAACTCAGGGTCCAATTCTGAGATAATTACAAAAATTGATTTTCAATCAATATATCGCATAACTTTATACGATAGGGCATCATTGTAGAAATTATAGATAGTCGATATTAATCGAAACCTGTACATTTTAATCTTATCCTACGTGCTCAAACTTGTCAAACTTAGCTTGCTTACTCATACAAAATATTATTAACATACTCATTTTCATTATAACAAAATATTTGAGCACATAGTACAAGATTGAAATGTACAGGTTTCGATTAATATCGATAATCTACAATTTCCACAATGATGCCTTTTAGTTAAAAGTTATGAGATATGTACAGGATAAGATATATAGGATAAGAATATAATAAATATAATAAACTTGTATTAGGAATAAGGTTGGCATTGTTAGTGAGATTTATTTTTTATGAAATATTAGATCATAGATGAACTGAGCTACAGAGCCCAGTCACTAATTCCTATAACATTAATAATTGTGCAAGATCAAAAATTTTGTTAACGTATGGTATATACTATACATGGTATATGCTGAGAATAGTATAAATTATAATTTTATATAATTATATAAGTAAACGGAATTTATTTAATCTATATTAAATTAATCATTTAGATTAATAATACTATAAATTCTATAGTATAAATACATATTAACAAGTTAAATAATGTAAAATTATTGTGAATTAATATCAAGCTAAAACTTACCAAAAAGGGTGAATCGCAAAATGTAACCTTGTCCATTTTCTACTTATATTTAATATATATTTATTATTAACATTAAAATTGTACTAGAACATTATTACACTTTTCATTCTATATGAATATGATTATTAAATAATATGCACTCAAATGGGATGAATATTGAAAATAACTTTATTGAACAGTTTATTTAGCTTTTGCTTGTTGATTCAAATTAATTTGCAATAATTGAGAGAAATTTGATATACCAGTACAGTAAATCTATTTTCTAGCAAAGTGCTATAATAAATCTCCTCGCTCAGATTTCTATGCGCTAAATAAATGCTAAAACTATTTTTCAATCTATTATAAGTTGGTGTTAAAAGATTTTATAATTTTATACAAATAATATTTCGGTTAGAAATTGTAAATGCATTTGTGAGTGTGCATGTCTCATTAAAACACATGTTCGTAACCGAAACATAAATATTGACTTATGAAAAGCTAGTCAATTATGATAATCACGTGACAGGTGTCTGTCCCCTGAATTCATTGATAAAAGTGATTGTAAACCAAACGTTTGACAAACGACTCGATAATCATTACAAACGGGTATTGCATTACATAACAGACACGTGTAGTGGTAGTGTTGCGTAACTTATGAACATTTCTCAATAAACACTTTATTTGACTCTTGTATCTGACTTGTGAGCACCTTTTGCACCTTTATCACTTTTTGCACTATAACTTGTACTTGATATATACTGTATTAATACTTTATTATACAGTAGTGATGGCAAATAATTACTTTAAAATTTGATGGTACTTTAATAAATAATTATTTTACTAGCTATGTGAAGCTTAATTATTGAAAATAAAGTTTGTTAACAAATAGATAATTTATAAAAAATATTAATTATTAATACTATTACGTGTTATAAAATAATAATAATAATAATAATAATAGTAACTTATTTGAACTAAAATTGAGATTTGCTAACATTAAATTATCTAATAGTTTAAATGATAAGAGTTATGATATCCGTATTTATCAGTTTCTAAATTAAAAACAATATTTATTTATATTTACTGTGATATTGATTGCACTTATTTAGTGCAAATATTTCAATTTTTTCATTTAAACAATTGTATTTAACCATAAAATCCAATATTTGTACACAATATCTTCAATAAAACATATTATTTGTTACATAAAATAACTACAATTAATATCACAGTAAATGTAAATAAATATTATTTTTAATTTATAAACTCATAAATAAATATTGTAATTGTCGCAAACTTTACGATTTAAAGTGTTTACAAACCTGTTCAGTTAATGTAATATAGTAAGTATTTTAAATATTTACTCCATACTGTATAATATAACATTATAATTTTATGAAAATGTTTGCTTGGCTAATTGTGATCTTCAAGAAATATTAAATATTATAAAACTTTTTATGTATTATATTTTTATCAATTATACCTGAATTAACATATAAGTTTATTTAATTTGTTACAATTACAATACAATAAATTAAACAAAATAAATAAATTTTAAACATTTAAATATACATTGAATGTTATTAATAAATAAATGTTAAGGAAATATTTTTGTAAAACTAATATATCATGTATAAATAAATTAATTCTATTTCAATAATGATATTTTTTGTTACATGACAATATTTAATTAAACTTGAAACTTATTTAGCACAATGATGGTTACATGTATATTATAGCAGCAACATTAATTTCACTTTTATTTTATAAAAACAATGTTTTATAAATAATTACCATGTATATGAGTTTGCTAATGACGATAATGGTTATTTTAATTATTTGTATAAACAGCATAGTTGCTTTTTAACTATAATTTTAGTTTCATAAAAATTACATAAATACCAATACTTTTTGCGCCCTAATAATTAAGATACAATATATAATATGAGTATACAGTATAAATAACATGACGGTACATTTATATGTACACATTGCATATTAAGCTGTATTCATTGTAATCTAGCTCATTAAATCTACTAAATGTTTACTAAATTAAATAAATACAATTTAATGAAAAAATGCAGTCAACATTGCCTTAATAAAACTGTGGGCTATTTTTAACCTGGCACACAGTAAATGGGTTGATCAAATCAAATAATACTGTGTGATAAATAGTATCGACGTAAAAAATAAGGCAAGCTAACTTACTGTATTGTTAACTTATAACATTACTTAATTAGTTATAATAGATATTATAATAAATTTTAAAAAACTAAATAATAATATCATTAATAAGAATATATTTTGTTATGAAAAATTAATTAATTATTTTGTATCGCGTATTAATGAGTATTTTTATTATTATATTTTAATATGAATCGTAGTTATTTAATAAGAAATTAAAGATTAACAAGTAAAATTAATTTAAATACATAATATCTTAATATATGTGAGTAAATAAATCTAAAACAGTTGATTTTTGCACAGTATAATGCAAATAGATATTTATTTAATAAAGGTAAATTGCTTTTTTGTAGCTATGATACTGTATTATGATGAAAAAATATTGATTTGACTACTATTTATAAACGTATTTGTGCAACTCAATGTTATATTATACTAGCAACAAACATTTTAAAAAATTTATTTGATAGTAAACAGTTACTACAAAAATATTTGTGCAACAAAATGAATTAAATTTTTATTTTAAAATGTTAACCATAGTGTGTGGATGCAAAAATCAAAATTTATTCCCTATTGTGTTACGTTTTAAAATAAATGTGCAAATGTAAATGTAATACTTGAATAGGCGGCGTGCACAAAGTACATACGCACTGGTAGGGGGGAGGGGGTCATGCCAAAGCGTATGTCACCATGTTAAATTCCTATGTACGATGGGTGTGTAGGGGGGAGGAGGGGTCAATTTCTGACCAAAATTTTGCGTACGTACTTTGTGCACGCCGCCATAATGATTAAAATGCGGAATTTTTTTATAAATCTTCAAACAGTGCTACTGATTTAAAACATCATCATTTTGAAGTATAGCATCAATAATTTTCATTTCAATAGAAATGTCTAAAATTTTATTTTTAAAAACATTTCTGTTTAAAATTTCATTTTATGTAAGATATATTTTTACATAAATCTAAAATTAAATATTCCTTTAAAATATTTACCATTTATGTAAATGTATTATGTATTTTGCCAGCTCAATATATTTTTATTTAAATAAGGACTTGACATTTCCCAAAATTTTAAATAATTTTATTTCTGACTATCATACAGTTTTGTGACATTGTAATTGTGATATAAATTGTGACATTTGAATATAAAATCATTCTTGCTAACTACTATAATAAACTAATTAATAAATTATAATACAATTATTTTAAACAATGTTTGAATACCTATTGATTCCGTACGGCATTTATGGCCAAAACAATACTATTAAACACGTGTTTACGGGCATTAATATTACAGCGTTTACGGCGTTATTAATATATTATGTGCTGACTATAATATACGGTGAAAACTATATACGAGGTACATTTAAAATATTAATGCTAATCCAATACATGAGTTTATTTGTGTCATATCTCTACATAAAATACAAATCACAACTTATTAATGAATTATACCAAGAATTATGTGAATACTATAAAAAATATAATTTAAAAATACATGATAAAATAAATATCCTATTCATTATAATTTATTTATTAATAAATATCCTGCGCACCTTGCTGGTGCAAAATGATCAAGAAATAAGCAAGATTGCCTACAATACATATTTAAATGATACAGGTGTATTTTTGTTAAGCTTATCTCTCTTATACTGTTTACCCAGTGGTTGGTTCATAATCTTAAATATAATATCATATAATTTGTACTCAAAATACGTATATATTTTACAAATACATGCCATGAGAATAGAGTCGATTGTGGACACACCTAAAAGTG